AAGGTTCTCCGGTTTTCTACAATCCCCATATGAAACACATCGGTACTTTTACGCTGTTATTCTGTGAGAGCGTGGTCTTACCCCGGTTGAGCACACCAATTCGTGCTACAACCATAATATAGCTGCAGCGTGACTCTACCACCTTATAAACTTGTAGTTACACATATATTTTAAGTAACGCTCTTGTTTTGTGTAACTTTTATACTATAAATCACTTATCATATTGTTTCACTTCAACCAGGTTTAACAGACAGAGAATGTGTTGAGGCATTAAGTACAGCCTTTGTAATCTTTTTATATAAGAAACACTATGAAGATTAAATGAAAAATAAATTAATATTTAATAAAAGTGATCAAATATTCCGTAAAAAGCGCTTGAGAGCGTGTAAATCCCGAAATTAAAGATAATGGGGTTGGCGGAACTGATTCGCTCGTAAATTGAATAACAGGTATGTACCGGCGAAATATACTCAGTCGAGGCAAGAATCAGGGAAAGGCATGAGGGAAATATGCATTTAAACTGTGGCTTTAGAAACTGTTTCGTTTACATTGCATGTTTAAACACGTTCTATTTCTTTTATTCAAATTATTAGCTCATTAAATGAAGATCTTTTAGGTATTTTGTGTTTGTATATTCAAAGAAAATTTTAATATTTTTTGCTCAGTTCAAGTAAATTATCGTTTAAAACTTTGTAATAGTTTTATTTAACAAGTTTATATTTTTTATTTTTGAAATACTCAGTGAAAAGTTTGCAATAGTCGTTTACTAGCGAACATGATAAACACAACGTGGTAAAAACAATGTTCTTGTATTATAGGGACCGCTAAAATATACGTCGAATAAGCGGCTACCCAACACGCCTCCAAACGTTCTCCACTCAAGCCTTATGGTTGTATAACCCACATTTTTATTAAAATACTTTGAAAATAATAAATGATATAATCTAAGCTTCAGAACGTTTAAAGTATTAAAAAAGATTGTGATATTATGTTGTATCTCAAAGTAACAGATTGAGTGCAACGAGGCGGCGAGAAGCAACAACCTCGGCTTGAATCACTATTGCAATGTGGGGAAAAGGTTCAAAACTAAAAACGTCCCATATCGCGGTTGTTAAACCTCGTGTACAGGGTGGTCTATGAAATACGCACTCGCCGTAAAACGCGGTGTGGCCTCGTGTTCCCTCTCTAGGGAGTACGAAAGCGCCTCCCCCACTAACGGATTTTGATGGTTTTTATCGAGTCGAAGTATATTAAGGATAACTCCTTAAGATACGAAGAGATAGTGGATATGTTGAGGTTGCGGTGAAGATCTACGTTCCTCGCATATAATGGGGCTCCTGTGATACGACGCAGGAACTTATTTTGGACAACTTAAAGTTGCTGAAGTAGACAAGGTTGAGCGTGGGCTAAGGACTCTCCCGCCTACGTCATAATGGGACGTACGCAGGAATATCTTCGGCTTTGTGTGTTAAGGCGAAAAGGCGATATACTAGAAATTTTGCCTTATTTTTGACAGCTTTTATGCATGATCTAATGTTACCCTCAGTTATTCCACCTCTTTAACCCAAGTAATAGGGCTATTGTAGAGGGAGGGTCGCGGGTTGGATTCCTGTTCCTAGTATGTAACGTCTTATTAAATACTAGCGAACCACCCCGGCTTCGCCTTTAAAGTATCTCTGGCGTGATTTAGATTTAAGATAATCGAAGATTTTTTTCGTTTTTAAAAACATCTTTAAGTTTTAAAGCAATGCCGTGAGAGATCATGACATTGTCCTCTACCTTTCCGTTAAGTTTCAGCAGAATCGGTTCGGCCATTCCGAAGATAAGCCGGGACAGACAGACGATTTTTGGTTTAGTGCAATTATATTAGTATAGTTGTAGCACGAATAGGTCAGCTCGACCGGGGAAGGACCACGCTCTCACAGAATACCGGCGTAAAATAGTAGCTTAATGCTGCTGTGTTTCGTATGGTGAAAGTAGAGAACCGAAGACCCTTTTTACTGGAAACGAGGCATTCCATCTTAGTCCTCACGGGTGACAACGGATCTGCATTTTGATTCGTAATCGAGAATAGATGTAGAGGTCTATGGGCCACTGCAACTACTTACCATCAGGTGGACTGTGTGCTCGTTTGTCATCCTATACTATATTTAAAAAACACAGACCTTCCAATTTTATTTGAATGTATACTCATAGGTAAAGCCTACTTCTCTATTTTGAAAGAAAAAAGTCGGCCAACCTGCTCCAAGGTGGCTAGACATATCTTTTCATCATCATCATTGTCATCATTACGCCCATCTCAAGTTTACAGCTGAAGATATTATGCCTTTTCCAAGAAATGCCACAAATCACGGTCCTGAACCACCTGCATCCAAGTCTTTTTATATCATTTTATTTTTTAAATATTAAAATAGATCTTACCATGTTGGTTTTTTCCAGGCCTGAATTGCTGCTTCGTTATAACTTCACAATTGTGAATTAACAATTCAGTGACGCTTGTATCGGAGATCGAAATTTGTTAGCTCACACATTGAACTTTATAGTTTGTTTTAAACGAAATGTTTTGATGTAACTAAATAAAAATGTTTCCGCAGGAATGTGCCCTGGGTTCGAAATTCCTTTAGCAAATATTTTTATCTAAGTTTTATGTAAGGTTTGGATCAACAAAAAATGTGCGTCCGTGAAATCAATATCAATCTCTTAAAAATTTCTTCCAATTTCTATTCGGGCTGCGAGGAAATCCGAAGGGAGTATTTCATTACTTTTATCAAATTTAGCAGAAAATCAAATCTTTCAACGGGATTATCCCTACGTCCGCATAGTATGTATCGCTCCAATGAGTTCGCGCCTCGCCTACTCGATACTTTGCTGGTTACTTGACATTTTACTCGGTTCATGTGAAACGATATTATTTGTTTTACACGAACCATGTGAAATATATCCTAGGTACTTTTTTTTAACAAAATTACAAGTAAAATGACTTGTTTTACTTTCGTGTAGTATATAACCTATTATATTGTTAATAATAAATAGTAATAAGTTAAATAATACTAATTTTACTGATTCTATCGCGTATATTAACTTATATTATATTCCCGCCGTTTCGGGCACTTAAAGTATCCATGATTACAGTTTTATTTCAATGTGTAGTGTTCGCGTAAATATAAGAAATCATTAAGTAATAAGAAAACTCTAAAAATTTCAACCATATTCGAATAACACCGACGTCAACTAAGAATTTATCAGCACATTTTTCATCTTTGCCGTCTGTGTATTTGCATTTACAAAAAAAATTGCCTTGCTTTTCCCACTGGCGGCATTGAGAATAGTTTTCATGTGAAAATAGCTAATTAGCGATAGATCGGGAACTGACGCCAGTATTATGTGCATTTGAGTGTAAAGAGTAAATCCGGATTCAACCTTCTCATTCACTTCTGTTTGAAATATTAATTGAATTTAGAATAGGACATGAACATCTTTTCTTTTCATTACAATCGTTGCGTATTTTCATTGTCACCATTAGCTAGGTGCTGGAACTCTTTTTATGTCTATGAATCCGACTGGGTAGGTCCCACTATTTAACTTGTATGTGACACCAAATAGCAGTGCGTGAGCTGCCGTGCTCTGCTCTAAAGGCTAATAGGAACCCGTATAGGTTAGTAGGCTGCGAGGCTATCATATTCCTCGGTTGTAACCATGGAGGTTAGAGAACAGGAGAACGATAGCTACGTGCTAAAGTATAGCCCGCCTGTCCCCCAAAATTTGTAGAATTTATAGCCGCGCTGCCGTCGGTAAGTAGTGTCTGCGAAGTAATTTTTTAAATTTTTGACAAAAAAAAACGTTAAAAATGGTGAAATATTATAAATAGTAATAATAATAATATAATAATAAATAATATATAATAATAAATCAAAAACTGAACACTACTGAACTACTGAACTGAACAAGCCAGAATTCTTCACCAGGAGCTCGCTCTGAAATACGGTCTCGTGGACCGGAAATTGCCGTATTACAAGTACTTGCCGGAAGCCGTGCTCGAAAACGATCGCGCCAGGCTTTACTGGGACCGGGCCTTCATCACAGACAGAACTATTCTTGCGAATAAGCCCGATATTGTGCTGATGGACCGGGCACAGTAAAGGATATTTTTGGTCGACATTACCATTCCGTATGACGAAAACCTCGTGAAAGCCAAAACAGATAAGCGAACAAAATATATTGACCTGGCTCACGAGGTGACCGACATATGGGGTGGTCTATCGACTGAAATTATTCCTGTAGTCGTTTCTGCAAACGGACTAATCCCAGTCAGCCTCTCGTGTCATCTGAGGCGGCTGGGACTGCGTGACGGACCACTCCAGGCTCAAATGCAGAAGGCGGTTCTCCTCGATACCGTCCGCATCGTCCGCCAGTTTCTTTCCCTTTCCCCCTAACCCTCGGACGTTTGGGCTCCCCTGCCGAGGGCCTCCATTTGATTGGGCTTTTATTTATTTATGTATTATTTATTGATTTATATTAGTATATGAAATATATATTGATGTATATTTATCATTTCCTTTTATAATTTATTCAGCCCAACCAGATGAGAATACACTACTAATACCCTAAAATAAATCATTCCACTCATTCCAGTATTCCTGGTTAAGGGAGGTACTTAAACATTAGTTGTCACTCTATTAGAAAATTTTACGACAAATTGGGCAACTTCTCTTCATCCGAACCATGGCGTTAATCAGAATTTCACAACAGGGTACATACCGATACGAAGAGGAATCTTTCAAGGAGATAGCCTTAGCCCCTTATGGTTCTGCCTCGCGCTCAACCCCCTCTCTTCACTCCTGAATGAAACAGGACATGGATATCTTATAAAAAGGGCTCAAGGATATCACCGAAAGTTGACTCACCTAATGTATATGGACGACATTAAGATCTATGCGGCAAATAAACGAGAGCTCTAAACGCTGCTTCACTGCACTGAACAGTTCTTTAGTGACATTAATATGTCATTTGGACTTGAAAAGTGTAGAACTGTAAATGTTTACCGCAGACGAATTGAGTCATCTAAAGGTTGTGACCTTCAGAAAGGTGGAAAGATCGACGCGATGACAGAAAATGACATCTATAAATATCTAGGCATCATCCAATCACTTCGAATCAATCACAGTGAAGTGAAGATGATTGAAGTATACAATCAAAGCCTTAAAAGAATCCTCAGTTCAGGCCTGAATGGACGCAACCTCACTAAAGCAATTAACATCTTTGCCATCTCAGAATTAACTTACACGTTTGGAGTAGTTAACTGGTCAGACACCGAACTGGAGAAAATTGAGAGGTCTACTCGCGTCATGCTTACTTAATATCTTATACATCACCCAAAATCAGCCGTTGAGCGGGTAACTCTATCTCGAGCCAAAGGCGGTAGAGGGCTGATAGATATTCGTAGATTGAGATTTATAGTCTTCGAGTTATTTCCTTTCGCAAACCTCCTCTCCCCTGCATCAAGCAGTGATTAAGGCTGATGAGTGTCTAATAACGCTCGATCTCCTTCATGCCGGTTAGAGACTGACGCTGAATACAAAGAAGCCAAGCTCCAGCGATGGGCCTCAAAACCTCTTCACGATCGATTCGCTAATGAACTGAGTCCACCACATGTCGACATTGAAGCGTTGAACAACTGGCTCAGACATGGTGAGATCTTTGCTGAAACTGAGGGATTCATGGTGGCGATTTAGGATCAGGTTGTGCCTACGAAAAATTATCTTAAGTACATTGTCAAGACAGGTATCGAAGATGACCAGTGCCGACGGTGTCATCAAAAGCCAGAGACCATCCGGCACATAACTGGCGGCTGCCAGGCTCTTGCTGGAACCGAGTACACCCAGCACCATGACAAGGTGGCAAAATTGTGCACCAAGAGCTGGCAGTAAAATACGATCTTCTTAAGGAGACAGAACCCTACTGGAAATACAATCCATCCCTGGTACTCGAGAATGATTTGACCCAACTTTATTGGGACAGGTCAATTTTAACTGACCGGACGGCGTAATCGACCGGACATAATATTAGTAGAAAAGGAGGAGAAAATGTATTATTAGTATATAGTAATTACAATACATAAATTACTATATATAATATATAGTAACTTATGAATTAACGGGTTTCCAACTGGCTTAAAATCATAAATATTGTGAATTGGCGTCCGAAACAAAATGATCATATTTGTTCCAAACATTTCACAGACGACTGTTTTATTAGACATGAGAACTACACCACTTTGAAAAAGTGCAGTATACCGACAATATTTTCTGGTAGTACCAGCACCAAGCACTACCAACTACTAAGTACTAAGTATTAGATTATTATTTCGAATGTTTTTTTATTTCTTCTTTCTTCATTTTCCACTAAACTTTAGGGCCATAGTCAAGTGTCGAAGGGTCACTTGATGTTGTCGAGCCACGTTGGATGTGTGTTAGTGAGCTGCGGTTAGAGGAGATTCCTCTCCCTGGACCGCTGTAGTCGAGGTGGAGTCGTAAGGGAAGAGGAGTGTTGGTATGGTGATTGGACTATTTTTCGCGACTTTGGTAAGGCTGCACCACTTGATGCTTCCAAGTGCTCGTTTTTCCCTGGCTCCATTCACATATCGGGCTCGAGGAGTCCGTAGTGCAGCTCGTATCTCTATAAATGTGTCCTCGGTTCAAGATCTTTGTAGAATATTTAGAGACGATACCAGGAGACCCGACGGTATGAGTTTGATTGCTTTGTTGCTTTTGGAGAGAGGGAGAGAGAGAGATAAAGCTGTAGTGTGGGATACTACTTGCGAACACTTTGACAGCATCCCATCTCAGGGGTACCTCGTCTAAAGCAGGGGTGGCATTAGAGGCAACTTAACCAAGTAAATAGCCCAGAGTATCTGGAAGATAAGTACATACTTGTGCAATTTGCTGTAGAGACTATTGGTCCGTAGGGTGCACGTGCGGTGTAGTTCCTAAAAAACTGTATCTGCGACTGATCATCGCTGCTGGTAATAAGAAGTTGTTTAGTTTGTTGTTTTCTCGCTTGAAGGCTAAGTATAGCCATTCAGTGAGGACACGTAGCCAGCATTCTTGGGACAATGCTACAGAAAGTAGGACTTTATGATAAATTCAGTTATTTTTTTAATATTGTAATTTCAATTTCGAAAATGAGGTTGTAAATAATTGATAACTATGTAATTCAAAGTTTATTTTTTTATATCATCTTGCTAGCTCGTACCCGGCGCATTGCCACCGCAGAAGAAATAATTGTGGAAATATCGTTAAAAATATGGAACAGTTATATTGTATAATAAGGAATGATAATACAATCATTGAATTAGAATGATATATAACTTCCTATAACTTTCTAATAAATAGTCGGTATAATACGCATGCCACCTAGTGTCAGTTAATTGTACCATGCGTATAACCTTCGCACAAGTGCAATATAAGTTGACTAAGTTTGACCGCAATTTGATGAACAAAAGTACGAACAAACATAATTTTTTTATAGTAGAAAATATTTTACTGTCTATAGACAGACCTGTAGTTGATTAGAAGAGGCGTTATTATAGCAGCTGATTTGTTTTTATAATACCAGAACTAAATGAACGGTTGACAATAAATTATTTTAGAAATTCAGTTTTTAATTTTTATTTTGTGTAGTTAGTTTAATCTGAATAATTTTTAGTTGAATGGTCTAAGGGCTACGATGGCTATCCGAGTACAGCACCGGAGTTTGAACCTATCCAACCGCAGAGAGGTGTAAGACAGGGTGACGTTATATCCGTCTCTTCGCTGCTGCATTGGAAGACGTTTTCAAGCTACTGGACTAGAAAGGATACGATATTAACGTCAATGGCGTGTACGTCACTCACGTTCGATTTGCCGATAGTATAGTCCTTAAGGCAGAATCGCTGGAGGACCTACGCACTATTTTCAATGACCTCAATCGTGTCTCCCAACGGATGGGTACAAAAAGGTACAAATAGGTACAAAAAGATGAACATGGACAAAACAAAAGTCATGTGTAATGTCCATGTCACACCTATGCCGGTGGTTTTTGGGAGCACTTAGCTGAAGTTGTTGACGAGTATTTTTACTTGAGACAAATAGCCCGACTAGGTAAGTTCAACTTCGACCGACAGGTCAATCGACAAATTCAAATCGGCTGGGCAGCGTTCAGGAGATTACAACACATCTTCTCGTCGGGAATACCTCAAAACTAGATTGTACAACCAGTGCGTGTTGCCAGTGATGACCTATGGATCTGAGACGAGGTCTTTCACTGATGGCTGTATGAGGAAGCTTGAAGTCACTCAGCGAGCTATGAAGGGGGCTATGCTCAGGGGTTCAAACTTAGGAATGATGATATATGCAGCAGAACCAGAGTGACCGACATCGCCCAATGGATTAGTAAGCTGAAGTGGCAATTGACCGGCCATATGGTTCGAAGAACCGAATAACGATGGGGAAAAAATGTTCTCGATTGGCAGCCTCGTACCGGCAGGTGAAGTGTAGGACGTTCCCCCACTAGATGGAGTCAAAACTCGTAAGATATGCAGGAAGTTGATGGATGCAGGTAGCTCAGGACCGTGCTTTGTGGCATTCCTTGGGGGAGGCCTATGTTCAGCAGTGGACTTGTGAAGGGTTTTAATGATGATGAATGATAATGGCATTATATTAATATGATACACTAATAGAATGGACGTTACGGGTAGAGTCCATCTATCCATAGAGTCCATTCTATTTATTTAGGTATAGGTAGGGTATAGAATTTTTATCGATATAATTTGGTACATTATCTTATCCCTATTATTAGTTCCGTGGACGTGCACTTCTGCTGTCAGCGCCAAAATGGCGGAAATCAAATCGCTTCAGCATGTCACGGTGTATAGCCAGTCCAGCGTACTTGTATATATAAAGGTCAGTGATGGTTACAAAATATTCAACAGTTATTAATCCATTTTAGGATTTTTTTTTAAAGTCACAGGATATTAAGTATTATGATGTAGGATGACAATATGGTAGACTTCTTCGTTGTCCTAGTGGTCGTAAATTGATGAATATCAAAATTTATTAATAGGTTTTTCTGTCAATAAATTCTCAGTGACAGTCTGGACTTCGCAATTCGGCGGTGTTTCATCGACGTGCCCCGGAAAGCACGTAAAGCCATTGGTCCTACGCCTGATATCTCTCTGGTCGTGTTTTATTATCGTTCTATAATTTTTTGCGTGGTAGAGCCATGCTGAAGCTTTATTACAAGTATAGTTGTAGCACCAATGTGTCGGCTCGATCTATTCGTGAAGAGAACCGGAAACCCTTTTTACTGGAAAAGAGGCATTCCATTTTAGTCCTCATGGGTGACAACGCATCTGCCTTTTGATTCATTATCGAGGATAGATGTAGATATCTATGGGTCAATGGGTCAATGTAACCAGTTACCATCAGGCGGATTGTGTGCTCGTTTGCCACCTTTATACTATAAAAAATCGAACTATGAGAGTGAGGAAATAGAGAGTGTACATGCGTTTATGTATAAATTCCTGTAATGCACGGATGGCTAATCTCTGTCGAGACTAGCGGCCGTGGCAAAAATTCGGTCTGGAAACGAATAATATGGTCAAGGGTTTTAGCGCTCATTTGACAGTATGCGGCCATGTATAAAGAATAAAAGAGGAAAGAGTGACAAAGCTAATGTATGTTGCAGAAGTGAACGGAAGAGTTGAGAAGAGACACCGTAGACTGAAGTTTATCGCGAGAATTGACGATATATTGAAAACGGGCCCGATTAAGAGTACCCTTAACTGACGAGCATGTATGCGTAGTTATATAGATGTTAAGAAGACGAGAGATGTGTGTCAGCATCGTGCCAATAGGAAGTCTGTAGTCTCTGCCTACCCCTCTGGATGACAGGCGTGGACGTTTATGTGTGTATTTATATGTATGCGATCAACCTGGGTTCGGTCTCCGCCCAGACTAATGAAATTATTAATTTGCAATTATAATTATTCATTTTCTACGTGCTCGGCGGTAGGAAAACTTCATTGCTGAGTAATGGTGAGGTATCCTGTATGTCTGGGAAATAAAATATTTCGAAGACATGCGTAGTCTGATTGTATTGCTCCATAAACCCTCTCAGAAATAAAAGGAGAACTGTGCCTAAGAGTGGCAAAGTTTTTAATGACTTTAGGAGCATTGAATAAATTTAAGAAATCATTATGACTTTAGGAGCATTTTTGTAAAGCCGGTATCTATCAGTGGAATACGTATAAGAAATAAAATTATCGAAGACATTAATTATTGAGATATTGCGAAATTTTTATTTATTTTTAATTTTTATA